TAAAAATCAATCTAAACATAAATTAGATTATCTAATCTAACTTTTCTAAGAGCCAGATTGAAAATAAGTTGCTTTTTCTACCCTCAATCCAACCAAACCCATAATCATAACGTGTGAGATGGTAATTGTTGACTTCAATGATGTTTTTTCTTTCTATTTTTATTTTTTGGACAAAATCATTTAAGGTGATTTCAAAATCTTAAAAAATTTAATCAACTTTAAATAAAACTTTCAGTTTTATTTAACAAAGCTTGTTAACAAAGCCATATGAAAAGAATCCATGAGAGTAATACACGTTAGAGAATCAATGGCAAAACCAAAATACATACTAGAGAATTAATCCCCAGTGTTATTTCTTCGACTATCTAGCACCCTAAAAAAAGAGAGAAAAAATTAATCTGAAAATCTTTATAGTTTTGTTTGATTTTGAATTAGGTCCTTAAATTTTTTTCTTTTTGATGAGTCCTTCAACTTTTTACTCAATCCTTAAGTTAGAAAATTTTTACGTTGTTAAATGTTTCTGTCAGAGCAAGTTTTCTCCTAGATAAATGAGATTTTGAAGAGTTCCTATTTGGGATGGAATGATCCCTATTAATAGAAGTATCAGGTTGTGTGAAAGTAAATATAATATTTCAAATCTAGTGAATTTGCGAGGTAAGAGTAAAAATGAAAGAAACATAACTCACCAGTAAGACTATTAGAAGATAAGTCCAGATTGATGAGATTATAAAGAGCTCCTATCTATGATGGAATGGTCCCCACCAATAAAAGTATTGGGTTCTATTGAGGTAAATATAATATTCCAAAATATAGTGAATTTGTAAGGTAAGAGTAAAAACAGAAGATACATAACTCACCAGTAAGGCTGTTAGGAGACAAGTCCAGATAATTGAGATAATGAAGAGTTCCTATTTGTAATGGAATAAACCTTGTCAATAGAGTGCATTGGATTATGTGGAGGCAAATGCAATACTTCTAAGGGAAAATGACATTGAGGTCCCATACAACACAAAATACTACAAAAGGGTCCTAGGAAATTTGGTAATGATTCTGAAGTCCCAAAGGGACTTGAGTGCAATTTGGTGAATTGTAAAAAGACGCCTCTACCCCTGGTGAAATGCCCTGTTTTTCAGTCTGAAAATCAGCACTTTATACGTAGGAAGCAAGAGAGAAAAAACCCAAACTTCATTCTGCTTCTTCCCCCATTCCCATCTGAAAATCTCATCCACTCTATTAACGTCAATCATTGGCAAAAATCGCTTGTATTTTTGGTTTGGTGTGTGTTTGGTCATTCAAGTTGGGGTTTTATTATAGGTGGGTAGGGTGATTATGGGTGTTTTGTTTCTAGGTATATTGTGGGTGGATTGAAGGTGGGCTTGCTCTGTCTGGGCATGATTCAGGGGGAACTGATGAGAAAGATGAAGGTTGGTGTGATTACAAACCCTTACTGCGAAATAGGAAAATATGTTGTCAATAAGGCCGCGACAGTTGTCAATATAGCTCCTTGACTTGTCAATAGTAATAGCATTGTACAGATTTACATTAACTGATTTTTTAAATTTTTTACACAAAGGCCATGACCTTCTGTACCCTTGACTCATTGGTAGAGGTCACAAAAAGAGGAAAAGAGGCAACAAAGAAGGGTGAGTAGTTACATGAGGCAAAAGAAAAAAAAAAGCCACTTTGATCCTAGACAAATGATGGCAAAAGAATTTTTTCATAAATAGAAGTGACATAAATTTTTTTGGTAGATGTCACAACACACACAAATAATTAGTTTAATACTGGATACATGCAACTATATGTTTTTTTCAATAGGGTTATAAAATCGGTGTAATTACATGTATATGAAGTTGTAAATGAAAGTTAGCTGTGTATTACATTCTGATGCATAGTTCGTTGTCATTATCCGCACCCTTCATTGTCAATACATGCTTCGTCACTTGTCACTCACTGCACCATCAATTGTCAATTAATGTACTGATATAAATTTAAAAAAATATGATTTTTATTACATAATGTTATACAACATCATACAATATCACTAATTCCTCAAAACTAATCTATTTTTTATAATATGATATAGAATAGCTATTAAAAGTCAATCATCACTAATATGAAATCATAAAATCACTTGTCATAAACAACATATTCACTTGTTAATGGTTTCAGTGTAACTTGGCATGTTAGATTCTACTGTCATTTCAATTGTCATTATTCGCACCCTACATTGTTATTAGACCTATTATAACTTGTCAATGGAACATTGTAACTTGTCAATTAATTTACTGATGTAAGTTGTCAACAATATGAATTCAAGTTACATAACCTGTTTTAGTATCATATGATATTTTTAATTACTCTGTCATATTATATTTTGATTAATTGTCATATATAATTATTATTAATGAAGTGTTAATGATGGCACTATGACTTGTCAATGGAAGCACTATGATTTGTCAATGGTGGCACTATGACTTATCAATGGTAGCACACTGACTTGTCAATGGTAGCACTGTGACTTGTTGTTCACCGAATAACTTCTTGAAAGGTTTGGGCACTGCGGCGGATATGATTAGGCGCCCTGGTGCCTTACACAGAATGGCAACTCCTTGGGACAGATGGGGGTGCCGCGACAGATATGGTCAGACGCCGTAGCGGATTATTAGTTGTCAATGGTGGCACACTAACTTGTCAATGGTGGCACTATGACTTGTCAATGGTGGCACTATAACTTGCCAAATAGAGTACTGTGACTTGTTAATGAAGGCACTGTCTCTTATCAATTGAACATAAATCTGAGTAACACCTTCTTCTTAATAATTATATTTTAATGCAAATATCACTTAACATTATAAATAAATGACACCTTCAGTTGTAAAAATTTTGAACATTAATTATTAATATTCACACATTCATTTGTTATAAAATTGTTATATCACTTGTTATTAACTTCTGTTATATTACTTGTTATTTTGGATAACTCAGGTTGTTAATTTCTACGCCGGATGCTGTTGAACTATACACAACTGAGAATTTCAAAAGAAATGAGTCACTTTCTTTTCTAGCAATTGATGATATAATTTCCTTCAATTCTTCATAACTTGTGCCCTCCTTTATATTGTTGTTCTTACACTACCTCCCACATATCTCATATCATCTTCTCTATCATTTATAAACTTTTTCTCTATGTGAACAAAGCAAAATATATGCTTTCCAGATGTATTCGCCATCAGTAATTTAAACCTGCATCAAGAATCATGCAACTGTCATTGACAAGTTAAGGAGCTATGTTGACAACTGTCGTGGCACACATTGACAACTATCGCGGCCTGATTGACAACACAATATCCCATTTCGTGCTAAGAGTTTCTACCCACACTAACCTTCATCTTTTTCTTTCTTTGCTACTAAACTAATATCAGAACAGAGCAAAACCATTAACAAGTGAATTTGTTGTTCATGACAAGTGATTTTATGACTTCATATTAGTGATAATTGACTTTTAATAACTATTCTATATCACATTATAAAAAATGGATTAGTTTTGAGGAATTAGTGATATTGTATACATTATGTAATAAAAATCATTTTTTTTTTAATTTATATTAGTACATTAATTGACAACTGATGGTGCAGTGAGTGACAAGTGACGAAGCATGTATTGACAATGAAGGTGCGGATAATACAACGACTATGCATCAGAATGTAATACACAGCTAACTTTCATTTACAACTTCATATACATGTAATTACCGATTTTATAACCCTATTGAAAAAAACATATAGTTGCATGTATCCAATATTAAACTAATTATTTGTGTGTGTTGTGACATCTACCAAAAAAATTTATGTCACTTCTATTTATGAAAAAATTCTTTTGCCATCATTTGTCTAGGATCAAAGTGGCTTTTTTTTTTCTTTTGCCTCATGTAACTACTCACCCTTCTTTGTTGCCTCTTTTTCCTCTTTTTGTGACCTCTACCAATGAGTCAAGGGTACAGAAGGTCATGGTCTTTGTGTAAAAAATTTAAAAAATCAGTTAATGTAAATCTGTACAATGCTGTTACTATTGACAAGTCAAGGAGCTATATTGACAACTGTCGCGGCCTTATTGACAACATATTTTCCTATTTCGCAGTAAGGGTTTCTAATCACACCAACCTTCATCTTTCTCATCAGTTCCCCCTGAACCATGCCCAGACAGAGCAAGCCCACCTTCAATCCACCCACAATATACCTAGAAACAGAACACCCATAATCACCCTACCCACCTATAATAAAACCCCAACTTGAATGACCAAACACACACCAAACCAAAAATACAAGCGATTTTTGCCAATGATTGACATTAATAGAGTGAATGAGATTTTCAGATGGGAATGGGGGAAGAAGCAGAATGAAGTTTGGGTTTTTTCTCTCTTGCTTCCTGCGTACAGAGTGATGATTTTCAGACTGAAAAACAGGGCATTTCACCAGGGGCAGAGGCGTCTTTTTACAATTCACCAAATTGCACTCAAGTCCCTTTGGGACTTCAGAATTATTACCAAATTTCTTGGGACCTTTTTGTAGTATTTTGTGTTGCATGGGACCTCAATGTCATTTTCCCTACTTCTAAATTGAGTGAATTTGCAAGATAAGAGTAGAAATGAAAAGTACATATTTCACCAATAAGATTATTACAAGACAAGTTTGGATCAATGAGATAATGAAGAGATACAATCTATGCTGGAATGGTTCCTGCCAATAGATGTATTAGGTTGTGTGGAGGTAAATAGTATTACAAATTTAATGAATTTGCAAGGTAAGAGTAGAAATAGAAGATACATAACTCACCAATAAGATGGTTATAAGACAAGTCCAGGGAAGTGAGATTGTGTAGAGCTGCTATTTGTGCTGGAATAGTCCATACCAATCCTAGTATTATGTTGTGTGGAGGTAAATACAATATTTTAAAATTTTGTGAATTTGCAAGGTAAATGTAATACGGAACTCACCAGTAAGAATGTTAGAAGACAAGTCCAAATAGATGAGATTATGAAGAGCTCCTATCTATGATGGAATGGTCCATGTCAATAAATGTTTTAGCTTGTGTGGAGGTAAATACAATGTTTCAAAATTTAACAAGTTTGCAAGGTAAGAGTAGAAATTGAAGATACATAACACACCAGTACGTTTATTATGAGACAAGTCTAGTTTGATGAGATTATGAATAGCTGCTATCTGTGCCGGAATTGCAACACCTCACTTTTATATACTAATAGGATCATTTTAACGTCTGTGAATCACTAACGCCAGGTTTCCGTCCTGGGAAAAGACAGGGAATTTTTTTTTCTTTAACATTAAAATCCGTTGATCAAATATTTCAAAGCTTCAGATAACTGATGAGTGATCCAATATCAACCCTGCTTTCAACTTAATCTATTATCATCTAAAATAATTTCATACTATACAATCTTATAATATTATATTAAAAATAAAGCAACGCTCTTGGTTGACAACATATACGTGCACCTGGCAATGCTCACTTCCTTCTTCTAGAGGATACAAAATAATATTTCCATAGAGCAAGTAAAGTTACTTGCCCATATATTTTGCTATACAATTTACAGAATTATAACAGGTATCTTTGATCTTCAACCAGCCCACCTTCTTCTTAAATAACCTTCTTATCCTTCTAGCTACTAGCCTTCACTGTTCATCATAAATTGGGGGGTGAGATTCCGAAGAATCCCCGTAGTAGTAATTTCCATCAAACAAATGTGCAGATCACATAAAGCATGCAAAACAAGCCAAAGTGGAACATAACCTTGCAAGCTAATGCAATTAAGCATTTATGCGCAATGACAGATAGAAAAGCTGAATAAATAATTCGCAAATACCTGGCAATCACTGCCCCATGTCTATTAGACAAGCTGAATAAATAATGCGCTAATAATTGGCAATCACTGCCGCGCATATAATTGGCAATCACTGCCACGCAAATAATTGGCAATCACTGCCGCGCATATAATTGGCAATCACTGCCGCGCAAATAATTGGTAATCACTGCCCCATGTTTATCAGCTGCACATGGTCACGGCTAAAAATCCATGCAAGGAATTAAGGATTACATGTTCTCATGCTTTAGAAAAGTAATATGGCACAAACAGACATGCAGCAATCATACACAAGTGTAAGGTAGGAAAGAACTACTACCTGGTCCGCATCCCTCCAAATCAAACCTTACCGTTCTCCTTTCTTTCTATTTCTTGGTGGGTTTGAGCAGATATAAAAACCTATCATATTAGTAAGGGTAGATCAGTACCTGATCCAACTATAATTCATAAATTAAATAACTCTCTTCAAATTCCAAATCTTCTTTAATCTCTACCCTTACTAGTTGGTCGTTCTGGACAATTTTCTATATTTATGATATAACTCCCAAAAGGTTATCCTTTCCTTTATAACTCCAAACAATTACCTTACTTGGTAACTGGTCATCTTTGTCAAAAATATTATCTTTATCTATTATACTTGGGGAGGAATGATGAGCTCCCCAAACTTAATCATTCTAATGTTCTTAAGCTTGATTTAACCATCATATTAATGTTCCCAAACTCCAACTTCAACAAAGAATCACATCTTATTTATCAACACAATCCTATACCATGAACATTGCCTTAAACCTTTGTCTTAACATTTGAAAACATGAGTCAGCAATTATAGTCCATTTTCCAGGTCCTAATCACCCTTTAATCATCATATTAGATTCTAATACCATGCATTTTTCACTGGAAAATAACCTCAGAACAACAAACTCCTAGCAAACTTTCAGCTTCTAAAGTTCCGAATGCATAGGTCTTTGACTTCATAAATTCTCATAACTCTTTTAACATTTATTTAATTAACATAACAAAATTCTATCCTTCCAATTAAAAGGTTCTTAACAGCAGCACTATCAACAGTTCAAAACACCAATTAGTGAGGTATATACCGTTCTCAGCTTCCATATTTGAACTCCCACATGTAATACCTCACATACACCCTTTTAACTCTTATACGTAGACTTCTATATCATTTAGACATCCAATTCCTTTCCTATTGGTTTGATTAACTTTAATCTTAAATCTGAAAAATATCTCTACGCATGATTACCTAACACAGGGAGGCATCAAACACCACATCGGATAAGTGCATCGTTAACTTTTAACCTCCACAACATTTCGGACAGCACAACCTTTGGTTCCGTTGAAACTATTTTCCAGATTTAAAATAATGTTTAAACCATCATTTTCAAAGTCCCTAGTCACGCCTTAAACTTATACATCAATGACTTAGCATTTAACTAGAAGCATAATTCAGCAAAGACCAAATCAGTTTTGAGCTTCAAGGTCTTGGGTTTCCAACGCTCTGGATCTTCAAACATGCTTATCAATTAGAGTTCCTATTCTATATTTAGAAACCTCAATCACTGAGTTTTAAATCAGTTTTCAACTTTCAAAGAAGTAAAAACATTTCCCATATGAGAACCAATTATAACTCCCTTAGAAAATAAATCCAGATTTGAAATCTTGCTGAAGCATTTCCGAATCTTGCATGAAGCGACAGATTGTCTATACATATAATATTATACTCCTCCCGACTTACAGAAACTGAAGCTACATACACCGAAACCATATATATATATATATCAGTTCGGTCTCCTTCCCCCTTAGCTCCATGAATTCGAATCCCATAAATCAAAAGCCCCATCTTGGTGACTGAAAAATAGAGCCAAAACTCACATGGAAACAGGATCATCAACATGCAGCAACATTTATCACATCCCAGACTCAATTCGAATACCATACCCGTAAGAGATCCCAGACCCTGTTTCGACAAGGACAAAACAGAGCCGAAAAGACTATATACAGACTGAAAAACATACATGCAAACACACCATTCATCTATAAAAGCTTCAATCTACTCTCCTCCTTTCTTATTTCATCAGTTTCCCTCACTTTCTCTCACTAAAACCGAAACTCAACCATCATCATCTTCACTTACAGCCACCTATTGCAGAAAATGGATATGGGAGAGTGATCAGGAGACTTACTTAATCTCAAAACACCGATTGCATGCAGGGATCTACTTCCGATCACGACCTCCGGCCTCCTTTCTTCCTCCTGTCACTCTCTCGTCTCTCTCTCTCTCTATTCTCTTCGAATGGCAGTAACGAAATGGGGAAGAAAATGAATTCTGATGGTTATAAGGATGGAGCAACACGTGGGTGTGCATGTGGCTGATTGTCTTGACCATTTTGCCCTTCACAATAAACCTTGTCTTCACTTTGATCCTTTCTATATTTTTCTGAACCTAGAGAATAAACACAGAAATTACTCCACCACGTTTTATATGGATTTTCCTTATCCATTAGCTTTTGTGACCCTGAAAATAATTTCTAAACCTTGAAAAATCAATATTCCATAATTTTTCCTAATTGATTGAGCTATTAAATAATTTTAATGAACTTTCTCTTTTCTGCTCATCCTGAGTCAGACAATTCGGGGTGTTACAGGAATGGTCCCTACCAATCAAGGTATTAGATTGTGTAGAGATAAATACAATGGTAAATACAATATTTTAAAATCTAGTGAATTTGCAAGGTAAGAGTAGAAATTGAAGATACATAACTCACCAGTAAGTTTATTATGAGATAATTCCAGACCAATGAGATTATGAAGAGCTCCTATATGTGATGGAATGGTCCTTGCCAATAGAGGTAGCAGGTTTTGTGGAGGTAAATACAATATTTCAAAATCTAGCGAATTTGCAAGGTAAGAGTAGAAATAGAAAACATATAACTCACTAGTAAGACTGTTATAAGAGAAGTACAAATAAGTGAGATTATGAAGAGCTGCTATCTGTGCTGGAATGGTCCCTGCCAATAAAGGTATTAGATTGTGTGGAGGTAAATACAATATTTCCAAATCTAGTGAATTTGCAAGGTAGGAGTAGAAATTGAAGATACATAACTCATCAATAAGTTTATTATGAGACAAGTCGAGATTGATGAGATTATGAAGAGCTGCTATTTGTGCTGGAATGGTCCTTGCCGATAGAGATATTAGCTCGTGTGGAGGTAAATACAATATTTTGAAATAGTGAATTTGCAAGATAAGAGTAGAAATGGAAAATATATAACTAACCTGTAAAACTGTTAGAGGACAAATCTAGATGGGTAATTTTGTGAAGAGATCTGATCTATGTTGGAATGGAATCTATCAAAACCATTCCAGAAATTAGGAGACATTCAAGATAGGGAAATGCAGTGAAATTGAAATATGCTAGCTGATGGTGTTGTGTAGTCTTCTGTTGTTGATTCATCTCAACAAGGCTTCCAAAATCATTACAAGATTTGCCTTTCCAGTGACAAGGGTCTGACAAGTTGTGGGCACTGTTGCTGAAATTCCACCATTTGGTCTAAAGCAGAGCATGTTTCTCCTCTTCTATCATGGCAACTGATGCTGCACTATTAATGTGGAAGTAGGTTATTACAATAAAGCATAATAAAAATGCTGCTCTCATCACACCCATTTTCAATTCCTTTGTCTACACAAAGCGATCATAAAATGAGTACATACACAAAGTCTTTATATGTAAAGAGCAATACTATTGAATCTCCCTTCTATGGGTCAAAGTGGTTGGAGTGTGTAGGTCCAACGGCAAATGGACAAAATCATATCGTGTGAGATTGCCTTAGTTGTTAAGTAATGGTCTTGGCCAGTATTAAAGTCTTTATAGTCTTTGGAGTCATTATAGTGAAAACGGACATGAAATTACCAAACATTAGATGATGAACACCACAACATAGTGGTCCCATGGAACTTCAAATTAAAGAACCCATTATTTTTAACTTTTAGGATTATAATTTTGAAGACAAATCAAATTATAGAAATATACCTTTTCTTACCACTAGTTGCTCTAAAATAGAGCATGTTTCTCCTCTGCTATCATGGAGGTGGCAATACTGGGAAAGACAGTAATGGCAGGGCATAATTGTAAAGTCACTATTACTATGGTAGTGCTTA